CGTGTTCACATCAGTCAGATTTTGGAATTTTTGCTGAGGTTGAGAAATTGAATATCTCTGCAGTTTACGGTGTGATCGGTTGTTTCTGTTCATTACACGAAGCGTCCACTGGCCTCTCTGTGGTTGCGTGTTTAACAGCTTATTCTAGTGGTCGTCGTGACTCAGCCTCTTCACTTACACATATTTTCATTTGTTACAGACCACTAGGAAATAATTCTAGTGAAGGAATAGTTGTAGTTGAAATTTAATTGTTAGGTTTCTTGACCCTTGAAACTTTTTTCTGTTTTTCTTTTGTTCTATCATGTGACTCGTGGAAAGAATTAACTACAATTTTAACACGTTTGAATATAATGTTAAGATCCCGATAATCTTCCACCTTGAAAAAGAACGATTTTTTTTTGGCTAAAAAACAAAATTCTTTTAAAATATGTCGTCTATAACAAGGGTTCCCAACCTCTGGTCCGGGGACCGTCTGCCAGTCCGTAGGTCATTTGGGCAGCAGTGAAAAAATGTACTCCTGTTTTACTATTTTACGTCATTCCAAAAGAATCCAGTCGCATCCCTTTATTTTTTTCATTAAAATATAATTTGTCAATCTTTCAAAATAAAAGTCCATTCAGACTCAGATTCTATCAGAATAAAGGCTAAAAGATGTTTTATTTTGAAAATTGAAAAATGACCCTTCAATGATGGTGTGGTATCACCAGTCCACTGTAGAGGTTAGGAACTGCTGGTCTATATGATAAAGAAGTTGTTCTTAATTGATTGTTGATGTTAATTATTGATGTCAGCTAACACTTTATTTTGGTTTCATGATCTAAATTGTCAGTTTTCAATTCTCCACTATAGGAGATCATTTCATTTTGGCAACTCATTGTCCAGTTTAGATGGAAAAAGACCATAAAGCAAGGCATACATTTAATCTTTCAATCTTTATTTGAATTCAATCTTAAAGAAATCTGAATCTTTCAGCAGATCAAAGATCATGTGGTATGTGTTTTTTTTTTATTAAAAGGTGCTCTTTGTCGTCCTGCGTGTGGTCTTTTCAACATCACGATGAATAGTTGTATGAATGAGTGAATGCATCGTTCACGTGGCACCGACTTTTACTCATTCATCTCATACAACTACAAACAAACATACAGCGTAATTCCACAGAATCAAGACATGTCCTCTGAGATAAGTATCTGGGTGCAAGAATGTTAGAAGACAGAAAATGGGTGTGGCTAACACCACACATACGTCATCACGACCCCTGTGTACTTTTAATTTACAGTCTTACATAATAGCTCATGTAACTAGAACCAAGAGGCCTTTGTCAGAGAGTGTGATGCTCCGAGTCAGAGCGAAGCAGTGGAAGCTGAGGCTCAGACACTGCAGGGCAGCGAAGTGTAAGCGTCTCCTGATGGTGACAGTGTGAGCCACATGTGTGTGTGTGTCACTGGCAGATACGCCCGGGGGGGAAAAGTTGAGCAAATGTTCAGAAACGCTGATTGCTAACAGATGACGGCGGGCCACGGGCTGCACACGTCCTCACAGTCGACTCACTGTCACCTTGACACCGTTCGTTTTTTCCGTCTGCAACAGAGAAATAAAACATGCAGCGTGGAGAGGATTCCACACCGACGTGGCAGGAAGACACATTTTGGCCATCGTTTTAGAACGAAATGTTTGTCTTAGTCAAACTTGGCTGTTTACTAAACCTTGCGCCGAAACCGTCAAAGCAAAACTTATTTTATGAAAGTGCAAAATAATATTGAGGAGAGAGGAGTGGAGGGGGGGGGGGGGGGGGGGGGGGGGGGGGGGGTGGTGATGAAAAGTTGATGGAAAGTGCTTTGGTAAATCATAACATATAAAATCAACATGTGGTCACCAGTTACTCTGGTGAATATTCTATATTTGATCTGATTTCTAGTCCTAGACCGAAGGAACCAGGAAGCTCTTCGACTGAGGTTTAACAAAACAACTTCAGCCTTATTTTAGTCAGTGAATGAAAAGTCGACCCCTGCTGAGGTTGAAGGGGGTTTTTGGCTGTGACAGATGTGGGCAGGAATCACATCTGCTTAGTGTGGTGTACAAACTGCAGCTAATGGGGTGAGAGGATGAGGGTTTGAGGCTGGCAGATGTCGGTGGAGGCCACGTCTGTTATTGACATAGCTGCCATCTTTGGTCTTCTTTTCATCCGTCAGCCGGATTTGACCGAGGATTCCCACTGCTGTGTAACACGAGCCAGATGATGGATCTCCTGCCACGGAGAATACGGACGCAGATGCACATGAAGGAAATGCTTGCACAAACACACACTCACACACACACGTGCGCACATTAGCAATCCATACTCCTGTTGCTGTCATCTGTTATTTGGATCCATATCAGTTGTCTTTGTAAATCTGCCCACATATTATTTTACCTGACTTCAGCTGGCAGGAAAGAAAATTGACCTTGCTTTAACATTCAACAGCCAGCGCTAGGACATTAACACCACCATCCGCTACTGCTAATGATTTATACGCAACATAACTGGTAATATTAATTTTAAAAAATATAGATATAAAAAACAAATAGTCCCTTATTCGTCCTTTAATGGGGAAATTCTTTGCAACCAACACTGGTTGCTACAGGAGGCGCCATTAAGCATGTAGTTCCTCTGGGTATTGAACCCAGGACCTTGTGTGTGTAAGGCAGATGTGTTATGGGGCATTCACACCAAAAGCACGATTGGTGCGAATCGAGATGATTTAATATCAGATGATGCAAATTAAGTCGAAAAAAATGTAAACTTCTCAGGCGGTGTTGTGCTACGACATCCAATCAGCAATGAGTGTATGCAGACGTCACCTCCCTGAAATAAACAGAGAAGTTTGTGAACAGTTACTATCATCGCTGAGTGGGCGACAACGCCCAAAAAAGGTCTGAAGTTATCAAGGGTCTCTTTGGTAAATTGTGAGACTTTTTTGTGTCTCGCAAGGACATGGCGTCAGTGAGCGTGTTTTCTGTTGTAGGAGGTACAGTGCACCAACAGCGGTTATTTATATTTTTTTGTTTTGTGAATGCTAAGGCAGGTGTAAGAACCCTGTACACTCAGAAGAGGTACGTTATAAAGTAACCTACATTGCTTTGGTCCGGTCAAGTGAAGCCAACATGTAGAATCTGCTCGATTTCAGAGAGGATTCATAGACTTTGAAACCAACGCCACCTCGTCCAGTGTGGTAAATCAAACACACCTCAGGTATTTGAAATGACCCCTGGTCGTTTACTGCTGTGTTTCATATCCTTGACTTAATTGCTGCGCAGTAGACTGAGGAGGGGATGCAGGGGTCTCTGCAGGATCTGGTCCCAGTATGGATGAGATTAGAGACAGGAGGAGGTCGGAGGAGGTGAGAGCTGATCCTGAACACAGGATCACTGCTGTCAGGAAGCAGCGACGGCGCTTTTAATAACAGCGGTGGTGGTCTGTTGGACGGCTGTTGGAAGAGAAAAAAAAAATTAATTTTGCTGATGTTAGAAGTTTGAAAGACGAGTAATGATTTACACCGTCATAAAGAAACGCAAACGAGCCCTGAGTGGAGGGAACATTACTAACGGTGAAAACACTGTTGCCACAAAATGATTATTAACTATAAAAACACAAAGTAGTGCAAAAAACGTCTTCTTAAAATGGCTAATAAAAAAATGTAGTTTATAAGTTCACAAGTGTTAGTCCAACAGGGAAAAGCACAAAATCATTTTTATTTATTTCACTGAAAACTAAATCATGCATGTTAAATAAACAAGATTTTTTAAAAATATTTTTCATAAAACTTTAAAAAAGTACATGCTAAATTATTTTAATTTGTAATGAATGAAATTAAGGAAAATAATTAGTTAGGAAATGATGACCTCTGTGCCGCCAGCAGATCATTTTTTCAGACACTTACATTTAAAAAATTAAATTAAATTTTAAAAAAAAGTTCAGTTCAAACGTAGGTGTTCACCAAGAAGTAATGTTTTTGACCTTTACGTTTCCTGGAGCTGGTCAATCTTTTCTTAAAGATAAATATGTGTTTATCTTCCTGAAGGGAAGTCCCTGTTGCGTTGGCAGTTATCTGATTAATTTCAGTCTAAATTGTGGACTCAGTTGTGGGTGCAGTGTTTCCCTGGTTATCAATGTCCATCGATCATCTCGCTTATCTGTTCAAGGTCACAGTGAGAAAACAGTGTCAGCCGTGACTGACGTTGAGCAAGCAGCAGGCCTGCGCTATTATCAGCCTCTAACAGGGTCCACTGTACAGTTCCTTCGTTAATTTATTCATTGGTCTTCACCAGATTGTTCGTGATGTAGTCTTCGTTATCCATTCACACTAACATTCACCCCCAAGTTAGTAGTTAGTGTCAAATGTAAACGTGATTGTACCCAGGACAGAACCCTGTGGAACTCCACAAAGTGTAGACCACAAATAATGATTATAAATATTTCTGCTTAATACTAGGTATGAAGAGAAAAGGTTTATAATTTCAGGTGTTATAAAGCTTTAATTTAAGGTTAGCAGAGATTTTGAAAAGATTTTGATTACGTAGCAAATTAATAAAAGTCTGCGGCTGTACGATTCAGACAAATTAGTCGTAATAGTCACTAAAGACTTTGATTTAACGTTTGGTTCCATAGAGTAGCGTTTAGCACGCCCGACTCGAAACCAGAAAGCAGGTAGTCCTGCGTTTGATTCCAAGAGGAACCACATACTTGGTGCCTCTAGGGGGCAGCCTGTTGATGCAGATCTGTCCGAATTGCCCAAGAACAGGTTGAGATGTGTTCCATTTTAGAAGTAACTCAGCGATTTTTAAGTAATTGTGAGAAAACAGTAAGTTAAGCGTACAATTTGAAGCAGTAGTTTGATGGTGGAGAACTGGATCAAAAACAAAAAAACAAAAGGTCTCTACATTTTCTCAGAGACAGTTTTATTTGTGATCATTTGTCATTGCTGAATTCACACCATATTGTGCTTTTTTCCCCCCTCTCATTTGTCATTGCTGAATTCACACCATGTTGTGTTTTTTTTCCCCTAGCCACAGAGAAGCCTCAGCTATTTTTTGCACTTTGTCCAAATCTGCAGCGGTAGATAATTTAACAAGTGGACATGATCTGCAGGATGTCTCCGATTTGTAGCTTCCAACAAAATGTCACAGAAGAATCAACGTGTTTACAGCAGGACTTGGACGGAGAGGGCCAAGGATTTGTCCTAATCTTGATAATCATGACAGCTCCTATCTGCAACTGGCCTAAACATCGTCCTTATCAGAAGTGATGAATTAATATTTGTCAAATGTAACGTCAGTTTCCAGCGTAGGAGCTCTGATCTACATCACACTTGAAAGTACAGCTGTTTGCTCCCTGAAATTCTTGGAAGGAAAACTGTGTTTCCTCATGCCCACAGCAGGTGATGTTAGGTGGAGCTTTAAGCTCTGTTGAACCTAAACTCAGCTTTAGAGTTATCAGGCTTTATCGTGCGGCCTTTCAAAGAAAAGCTTTTGTTTTAAACACCCCTGGATTGCAGGATCTCTTGTCTGATTGTGATCACCTCTGTCTCCGTATCATTTCACCCCAGCTCCGAGACTGACTTTGAGATTTTGATGCTGACAGACGTGTTGACAGCAGATCAGGATGGTGAGATAAGCAGGGGCGAAGACGAGGACAGACGGGTGTGGTCCAGCCCAGAGTCTCTCTCTCTCTCTCTCTCTAATTTCATACCTGCAGACAGGTGGTTGGCAGGGCAGAACACGCACATGAGACTGGAGGAGGCAGTCAGAGGGCAGGCGGGAATAAGGAAGACCTTCAGAGCAGATCAAAGGAGGTCACGCTGTTCTCCTTTCAATTCATCTCTCCCTCCTCTCCCCTCTTCCCCCCCGCTCCTCACCCATTCCCTCCTCCACTGATCTGAAAACGATAAATTTCAGGGAAGTGGTGTGGGATTACCGGGGTGGGGCATGTGATGTGATGTGTAACTAAGACCAGAACACAAGACTGGGTCTGGGTCACTGCAGCATGAAAAAAAAACTCTGACGGACATCGTCTGTTCCGCACACCAACAGGTGACCTTTGTTCGAATCTCAAAATACAAAAATGTTTAGTTGGGACACAACATTACGGATGTTTACTTTTAGACAGAAAATGTTTGTGGCTACTAAAGCAGTCTCTTGGGGGCCACCTGCTGGAGGCGCACTGCTGCAACCAAAGGGGGGAAAAAAACACCAAAAAACAATAACAGAATAAAACAAAATACAAATAAATAGTTCTCTGCTCTGCCGGGGCTCCGTGTTGAAAATAGAACTGAATCAAACCCCTTCCCCTGTGTCTCATTAGTTGATTGACCTGGCCGTGACCCTGTCCTGTGCCGGGGACTATCACCACACTGTAATCTGATCTGATATTATATTATATTTTACTGTTTTCTATTGTTTTAACTGGTGCCATTTTACTACTCATACTGTGAGTGCAGTCAGAATTTTGAAGTATTTACACAAAAACCTTAACCTTGTTATTTTATTTCATATCTTTATTATTATTTATGGGGATGGTCATGTTGGGGGGAGGGGGCTGGCCTTTGGTTATGTGTAAAATTAGTGGCTTTTTTACATCTGGTGGAGAGTCATTTGTCTTCCACTCTGTTAGTTGTTCTTACGGAACCAACATATTTATGAAAATTTGTCTACTGAAAATGTGGCACCAAAACATTTCCCCTGATCCACTGATTTGTGGATCTTGTTTTAGCAACTTTTTTTGATTTGCAGCACTGTAGTTCCTCTTTAAAGTTTTCTCTCAGACAGAGACTCATTGTGACAGCTGATGTGAAGAGTCTGTCTGTTCTGGCTCAACACCAACGAAAACAGACGTGTGACATAATGTATGTATCCAGAGCTGGGGGAGACAGGAGGGGCTGAGGACTAGGCGGTGAGTCATTTCTCCAGTCCATACCTTTTCATCACCAGACGATGTCAGACTAATATGTCCGGCTCTTATCTGGCTCGTAGTTTGTCAAAGAACAAAGTATCTTTTGATGTTCAGCTGATGACGGTTTGATCAGTTATTAAACATTCCATCTCTGTTTTTAATCAAATAAAAACCAGAGGAAGACAAAGTCTTCTGAGACACTGGTTATAAGGTGATGATTTTAATAACACTGCATCATGTGGAGACACGTCTCCCGGGCGTGTCCAACGGCCTTGACGGGTTTTATCACGATATCTCCATCAAGTGTTCACTGCACTGTGTTTGACTTTTATCAAATGAGGTTTTTCATCGATAAAGTTTTAATGTTTGGTTCACCTACAGCCTGACCTCACATATCCTCCAAGTAAACACAATAACTTCTATGACTGGGTGGTGCATTCTGGTCCCAGAGACAGAACTGTTCATTTTTAGAAACCTGTGTACCAGATTTTTTATTTTACGGCTTTATGATATTTAATTTATGCGGACGCCTCTGCGCGGCCGTAACTCGCGTCCGTGGAGTCGTTACGGCCCTGTTGGACCAAGTGTATTTATGACTGCAGTTCCTTTACGTTTCTCTACTGTAAAGGTATAATGGCCAGATGAGTGGTGGTGAAGCCCCCAGACCGTTATTTACAGCGGTGTTGTACCTCAGAGACACGTAGCCCCCGTTATGCGACAGAGGCATGCGGGAATTAAATTACGCCTGAAATTTAGTGATCCTTCCGAAGAATAGGTTCCCTTGTTGGATTGGTTTACCTGCGTTTCAGTGCGAATGTCCGTAAGAGTAAACGGCAGAAAAAAACAGGTCAAAAGGAGCAAGTGAAGAATTCCAAATGAAGTGTCGAGGTGCTGTGAGGCTGCAGTGTGTGGCTGACATGTTGGCTCCTGTGTTCTGGGCCCAGAAAGAGCCTCAGTGTAGGTTTGGTTAAAGAGGGAACGGATGATGTCTAATTACCTGTTGAGATGTGGTTTGGACTGAAGCCGCTCTTGTGACAGTGTGTCTTTCTTTTTGATGAGGAAATTACAGTCTACTGCCAGGCTCATATTCCCTTGATTTGCATCATGAGGTCCTCACCTGCTCCTGCTCCTCTGAAGTGTGTAATACAGTGGGGGGAAGAAGAAGAAGAAAAAATCCCCCCTCATCAGCCCAATGAGGACGGTTTATTTTCACTGCCTGGAGGTCTTTGAACCTCACATTCAGACGGGAGAAATATTTTGATTGTGTTTGATAATAACACGCGGCGTTGTGAAATGGATCGCACAAGAAGACGTGCAGCCGTACCTGCTCATTGCTCAGATAATCACGTTTTATCATCCGCCGAGTGTTTTCACAGATCAGTTATGCTGATGTTTTTAGTATTAAGGAGTAAGAGCATGTGTCTGACCTCGGCCGCGTGTGTGTTTGGGGAGGTGGGGGTGAGGGAGAGAGGGCAGATACAGGGCAGGGGAGATTATCAGGCCGCCCTTGATAACTCACAGGTGGTTGATCTCAGGGGCTTAGAGTCCGATCACTGCCTTCTAGTCTGCACATGCAGCTCGAAAAAATATGAAAAAAAAAAGTTTAAAATAAATAATAAAAAAGTTTTATTTTAGATCATCTGACTTGGAACTGTCCAGCCAGGTTTCTGTAGCAGAAACATCTTCAACCTTTTGAAATTTAACAGGACGAAAAGCTAAAAGTTAAGTCATGAAAGTCAAAGAAAAAAGCAACATCAATATCTTTTTACAACAGCTACATATAATGTTACTAAATCTTTCAAGAAAAACATTGGTGAATGTGAATGAAATAGTAAAAACATAAAAGCTATAAAAGTAGCAAAAACTAGTTGGAAAGTTTTTGAATTTTTTTATATTACTATACAAAGCAACTAAATATTTCAAATCGAATATATATTGATTAGCCTTAACAAATAAAAACAAAATCTCCCAAGGGAAAAAAATGCCTAAATCGTTAAAAGTGTTAACCGTTTAACATAGCCAAAAGAAAAAAAAAGAAAAGTAAATAAAACGTTTTTTTATTTTTTTAAAGGGGATTCACTCTTAATTATGTTGTATCTGCTCAATGCCAATAAAGACAATCATCTTCTATATTATATGAGCGAATGGAACCAAAATTTCAATACATTTGACAAACATGTCCCAAAGCCAGAATGTCCCTGTATGACTCATTGGACCTGTGTTTTGGTCCTCACCCCAAAGGTTCCTAAGACACAGGTGTGTTACCATATTCATGTCCATGTAATTCCTGTTTCTGATGAGGTTCAGTTCAGAGGCAGAGCTCAGGTTCCAGTCTGAATGTACAGCTTCAGTGTTTAGAATAAAACAGTCTGTCAATAGAAAACTGCTGCCTGTTCCTGTGGAGGGTTAGGGGTTATTGATGGAAGCTTTATTGTTTAAGGGATTGTGTCTAAATGCCTAAGAATCCCTGTTTGATTTACAGTTTAACGGTCTGTTGCTCAACACATAAATTACACTATTACAGAAGAAAAAGTGTGGAGAAAAAAAAAAGATTTTATTGCACAAACAAAATAAGCACTTACCCTCAATGTCTGTGCAGCACATTCTTCAGTGACAACAATTCATCTTCGATTTCACACCATACTTTTCTCCTGTACGACCCCCATAAAGTGCCTGGGTGAACTAAGACTCTCTGTGGTTGATGCCGGTGAGAGCGGTGGGGGCCAGAGGGAGAGGGGTTGACATTTATGGATGAGGTTTTCCACCATCTCTACTATCTGGTTTTAGGGGCCGTTACTAGCCGAGAGCCCCTCTGTGTGCAGCGGTAAAGGCCGAGTGTGGGGGACTCTGCTGACAGGGTCTGGGGTGGCTGCACTGTATTCACGGAGGCTCTGTAAACTGCAGCTGTGATGTGCACATCCATCACGGCCCGGCTGCATGCTGGGCTTAGGGATGGAGGTGCATTTGTTATGCTGACACGGCCAGGGGGGACAAGGGGAGGGGTGGAGAGAGAGGTCAGAATCAGGGGAACGCTGGAGAGCAAGCTGGGGTCACGATTAGGGTGTTGGGGTAGAGTGGACACTGTATTTAAGATAAGACGATTATAGTGAGGTTTAAGGAGGGACGGGGCTCCATGGCAGCGAGTCTGGTATCTGCGGAAATCTCTCCATTTTATTTAAGGCTAGGCTTTATTAACAGAGGATTTAGGGAACAGGGGATTTAGTAAATGTTGCAGAAAATTTTAGGAATGCAATTAACAAAAAAAAAAAAACACAGGGATCGGGGCCAGGTCATGGAACACTCCGTAATATATATCTATATCGATATACAGGATATATATATATATATATATAATTGTTCTTACAAACTTTACTTTAGATTAAAGATCATTTTACTTTTTACTTTGTGTAAGATGTGCACTCAATATTAATTTTTGTTCTTAATTAAATGACTGAATATTTTGTTAAATACATGTGGTATAGTTGTATGACAATTGGAGTTTTAGTTTTTAGTACTAAACCGGGTGTAACAGCCGTTTAGACACAGACAAGAGAGGAGAAAAAAAAGAAATGTCTTTAATGTATTGACAACGATGTAAAAATCATTGTTTTGCTCGGCTGCTCCAGACTCCACCCTGTAATCTGGGCAAACCTGGGTGTCTGAAGTTTGCACCAGGCTGGGAGGGTGGAGGAGGCGAACGGGTGAGAGGAGAGGGGGATACTGACATCAAAGCATGGAGATGATGGAGGGGGAGGGAGAGAGAGGGAGAGAGAGAGTGATTATAGGTCAGGAGTCTGAAAAGACAACAGGTATTTTTTAGACCTTATCATACTCTGGAACTCAGACTTGATCTGTCTGAGTGATAGCAATCTATGACTCAAGGAACGAGCCACGATCCTTGGACTGACGGGATGTCGACGTTCTCGTGGTTTAGTGCAGTGATTCGTAGCCACAGCAAATGATCAGGTTTTAAAAAATGGTCTGATTTCACTTAACTGCTCTGAAAACTATTTTTTGTTACTGCAAATAATGTGTCTTTGATCGTCGATGTGACAGAAAAAAGAAAGAGTTGAAGATCTTAGCGCGTCTTTCTTCAATTCCTGCAGCATTGTGTTCAACTAAACAGGAGAAAAATAAACACTTGACTGAAGGATCTAAATCACTTCACACCAAATGTCCGCGGCTGAACATCTGCTGTGTTTGGCAGCACCGACCTTCTCTCCTCTTTTTGTCTTTGCTCCTCCTCAGCAGTATGAAAAGCTGTAACTCATTGGTAACTTTCAAGGAAATCTGACTTGGAGTAAGGACACAGAGGAGGTGAGTGGGTGTCTGAGTGTAGTGAGTGGGAGGAGGTTACAAACACACCAGCTCCTGCCCCGAGGAAACAACAGGCTTGGATCATCACATATTCCTCCAAACACAACAGCGTCTGGCTGAAACCTGTGGTTATTATGGATCACAGCTCTGCTGATTCAGATATGATCTCATGCTCCTCCGTCCTAAGTAGCTTCTCAAATTCTTGCTTCTCTGGACACAACGCAGAGAAGAATTAGGTGTGAGTCCAGTAAAAACATCTCTAAAAGTGCCTTAATGGACATTTATGAAAACACTTTCCTCAGAGTTATATTGTCTAATGGTAGTCAGCTGTCCCGTTAATGACTGCCTGACACATTCTAAATGTTAAAACGAAAATTTCATTATAATGTGGCACCAAGTCAGTTATGAAAGTCAGCTCTAAAAACACACCAGATATGAGAAAGAGGAGAGAGAGCATCCTGAAAGAAAATGTCTTGTTGGCAAAAAGTTTGAATGATTACCATTTGTAGCTAATGTACAGTATATTCTGACTGTATTATACTGTATTATAGTCTATGATGCAGTTTGACCTTCAGAATGTGCTGTGTTCATCATTGTGGTTCTGGGCCACCGCATGTACGTTAATTTGCTGTAAGACACTGGTAAAATCAAGAACTGTACAGCATGAGCATGTCTTTCTTCAATTCCTGCAGGTTTATCAGCATTGTGTTCAACTAAACAGACTGTCAACAAGGAAACTGGGAGTTATCTGTAACCAGAAGATCATTATATTTTGCTTCATATACTGTTTGCTTCATATACATTTTCGAGACAACTGTAGGTATGACAAACTGTTATAGCTCTGAGTGATTTCTGTCACAGGCTGTAATGTGTGTATTTGTGGAGGAATAGGAAAGTAAAAATATATACTATCATTTATTTGTGTGTGTGTCTCTATAGCAGTTAAAAACATGTTTCTTCCATTGTTATTACCACTAATAAGGGAGTTTTTTAGAGTGCCAGAACAGATTCATTAATTAATTTTTTTTCTGTTACTTCTTATGGGAAAAAATGATTTTAAATACGAGTATCTCAAGATATTACTGTATTAGGAATTTCCCAGCATCACCTCTATGTGTCGCCAAAGGCACAACAGCTGTAGAAACGTGCGTACGCTAGCTTTAGAACTGCTGTGACGCTACGTTTTTGTGCGTACGCAAGTTTCGTGCACGAGGACCTTGAACGTGAGAGTGGAAATGGACGTACGCCATGTTTTTGTGATTACGCAACATGGGGCCCAGGTGAGCATCCCGACCCACTTCCACCGCAACTTCCTCGGCGAAAGCGTCTTCGACGCCGTAAAAGACTTAGCGCCTATATACGGATATACTTGGAACGAGCGTGGATTTTGGCCTCGCGTCTCTGTTCACCGCCGCTCGCTGCACCCTGCCTGGCTGTCACCTGTCCTCGGCCCGCATGAGCAGTTCCAGCCCCGCGGCCAGTGTTCCCCTCGTCCCTGCTGCCGTGGAGCGAATCACTGTAACCTGCAACCCTTGTGTCGGGCTTCACTGACGGCTAACGCTGCGGACCCCCCGGGCTCCCACCAGCCGAGACATGGGACTCACTTTTGGCTAATGACTGCAGCTATTTTAATTCCCCGCGAATGTCAGGTCGAGGAGGAGGAGCGACTGTTTTCAAGAGTCATTATAAAGGTAAGCAGCTTTCGTCCTCGTTGTTTACCTGCGTTGAATTGAGTTTTTTGAGCTGCTTTGGTCTCACACAGTGCTGTGTGCAGTCACCTGTGACTTTGTGAATGATTTTGCTGATTTACTTGTTTTATCACATGGGTTGCCCGTTCTTAACTTTTGTGACGCAGTGTTTTGGCTTCTGTATTATTGGAGGTTGCTTTTGGCTGAACTACAGTTAAATCTGGCGGTGCGGTTTGACGCTGTTAACCCTTCCACTGCTGCTCAGTTTTTAGCTGTTTATGCAGAAAACTGCATTTGATGTCCTTGTACTACGTGTAATGAAGTTAAATCTAATGTAATCTAAAGAGAAAACCGATCCAGAAACCACAAAACATATTTAATTATTGAGCAAATATAAAAAATAGTTATGTATGAATCACTTTGACTGTTTTCTTCAACAGTAATTAAAAATAACCAAAAAAAAAAATACCTCACTCCCAATACCAAGAACAGTACAAGTTTAAATTTTTATTCCTGATTATAATGAGGACAAATCCTGCCTCTCATTGGTCAGTCACGGCTCTATCTTTTTTTTATCTATGTTTTTTTAGCTTTGACCTTTGCCCTATGTGTTGTCGACTGTCTCTCGTCCTTGTCAGGGTTTTTTGTTCTTTCCCGTGCCCCTGTCCGTCTCCAGCACCTTGCTAATCAGCTCTACAGTTGCTCTTTGTCTCCTGTTCCTGAAGTCCTGTCAGGCATGTAGGCCAATAATAACCCAGCCAGGTAGCTCAACCATGTGGAATTTGACATTGTGTCCTGGGGCATGTTGGGCCCCAGAGGGAGAGTGTGAGTGGACAGGACACAGCCAGTGTCAGGCTCCTCCACAAAGTGGAGTTGTCCTGAATGAGTTTTATCAACAATCGCTGCAGTTGACACTTTCTTTATGTCCTCATTTAGAGTAGAGAATTAGATGATCAACGCACTCGAGAAACAATGGCGACATTTGTTACAAGTGCAAGTAGAAAAAGAAAGGACTCCAGATTATTCCAGATTTGGACTATGATTAGAACTTGTGTTGGACATCGACTTTTATCACTGCCTTTATAAAATCATTTTGTGTTTATTTTTGCTACTTGAAAACTCAAATAACTATACAGACGGTCCTCGGTTTACTACGTCTTCGACCTACAGCATTTCGCAGTTAAATTAACATCTATAAATTTATCACGAAAGTCTTGTTCTTTCAAGCACCTCATCATGCAGCTCTATATAAGTCAGACAGTTTTGTTTACATTTGCTGACTTCTATTTGTGTTGTTTTTTTGGGAATTTGTTGTACTTCATAATGGCTCCCAAGTGTAAGTCAGACTCATCTGATGTTTTTGTCCTAGTTTATGGTGTTACCACTGGGTTAGCGTAAATCCGTAAGTCATGGACCCCCTGTAATTATGACGGGTTTTTTTGTCTGATGACGTTCAACCATTCTGCTCACTCTGTCCATTTAAACCCTCCTGTTGGTCAGGCATCTACAGTAGGTCCATGAACTTGACTCGCGGGCCACAGTGGGTCCCAAAATTTGACAGGGTGCCGGGTCGAGTAGCAAGATGGAGGGTTTGTGTGAAAAAAGGTAACTCGCATGTAAAGGTCATGCATAAAGGCTAAAATGCTAAAAATGCTTTAAGCTTTCTTCTACACCATCTATTGGGGAAACAGGTGCATTGCAGGAAAAAGTATAACGATAATACAAATTATATTATAATTTGGACAAGTTTGGCGGGCCGGATTAAAAGGCCAAAGGGGCCGCATCCGGCCCTCGGGCCATAGTTTTTCCATGCCTGCAAAGTTCAACAAAAAGTCGTGAGGCCAACTCGCGACTTTGTCCATGCTTACAAAGAGAATAACTGTTAGGTGCTCTTCTTATTGTGAATCTTGGAGCAACTTCCAAGAACAGTAGTTTCTTTTTTTAATTGCGTGTGCTAGGGTCATTGATCATCAATATGTGCAACAATGAAATGACAATTTGTAAATAACTTTTATTTATTTATTTAAATTAAGTGGAACTAAGAACTTAATCGTTTTAGGTTCAGGTGAATTACTGGGCGAGGATCCTTTCTTTTTAAGATAATGTGTAAACTCGCCTTATTCAGTGATCTCCCTGAAGAGCAGACGGCCCTGTAGACAGTAGTGAACATGGCTGCTTCACCATAATTCACCCTCTCACATGTCATTACATATTTATCCTTCCGCTGTCTGTCCTTTGAACCGCCCTGGCCTGCTGAGGTGTGGTCAGAGTGATTCATGACTGGGACGAGGGGGCTGCCTCTATGAGCGCCACATGTGTTTTACGTAGTTACACGCTTAGCACACACATGTACTCAGAGACACGCTAGCAGGTGCGGCAGAGGAGTACGAGGCACTTGAAGAAAGCTGTTGTTAATGTTGGCACCGGACGCTCGGCTGTGCCCCGTCGTACCTCTGAAGGCTGTGTGGCCACGGGCTGATAAATGGGCCGCTGCACAGGAAGTGACACGCCATCATATACAGTAACAGGGCAGACTGAGCCCAGAGAATTCTGTGTCCTGTCCGGCTGTCAGAAAGTACCCATGGACTCATTCAACCTATTATTATCCAATCACAGCCGGGATGAAATGTCACCCAGCAGCGTTTCTCCGAGATTTGTTTTTGTTTGGCTTGTCCTGAGTCGAGACAGTCGTCCCGGAGGTTTCAGCCTCCTGTCCACCGGGGATTAGGTTGAAATATGTGGGGCATTGATTCGAAGCACAGACATTTTGAATGAAAAAAATGAAATGCCTCAGATTTAACTTAACCTCAGCTCAAACTTTAACCAAAATAACCACTGTTTCTGATCAGGAATGTTTTAATAACAAATATCTTCACATCGTGAATAACAAGGTTTTATTTTTGGTGCCGAATGGCTGAAAAAAAAAGAGAAAAAACACAAATACTGTATAAATATGAACGGATCACAAACTTGTTTAGGCTTCAGTCTCTGTGAAGACATTGGTTCAACTCCCATTTTCAGTGACAGATCTTAATGGCTCAGGGATGCATAGTGCAAAAATAAAAAAAAATCCAATCTTTAATTAATACAATTATTTATATATATAAAAATGATGTCTTATAGAAAATGTCTAGAGCAGTGGTTCCTAACCTCCTGTGTATAGATATAAAAACAGGAAATAAACCTCTCTAGATAAACACCAACTCTTCCACATCTCAGGATTTACAATAATCAATCTCTGTTCCATTTGTGCAGTTAAACACAAGTCAGGGCCTGTTGTTGGTTTGAGGAGATTCCATTGTCTTCTGTGAGAACAGTTCAAGTCTAACTAAGCAGTGAAACCACTCTTTGGCTCGACCTTCTTCTCATATACTGAGCTTTACAAATACTTAGGCCTTACCCAGGATGACCCTCCTGCTTCTGAAGAGGGAATAAAAGTGTTATCAGACCCTAGCACTGGAAGCTGTTTTCAATAAGGTGAAGCTATGTCCGGATCCTGGCCACAAAACCTTAGATTATGGTTCAGGGTTTTTTGTGATATTGTAAGGAAACCAAATGTGCTATAGTTTAGGGAAGAGCTCTGTGCTGTTTTTGGTGGTTTTCCACAAAATGGACTCAAAATGGACTTATGTGGTCGCATTGGGATACGTGTGCTTAAAGGGAATGTGTATATATATATATATATATATATATATATATATATATATTTGTTTTTTTCTGTTGTGTATTTGAATTTGTTCAGCTTATTCCTTATTGTTTATCTTCTGCTTTTTCTCCTTTTTTGGGCTGCTCCCTCCAGGGTCACAGCACCTTCCGTTTCTCTATCTTTTGCCTCCCCTCACTGTTACCCCGACCATCTGCATGTGGTCTTTCACAACATTCGTAGATCCTTTTGGGTGTGTTTCTGCGTTCCTCTCGCCTGGCAGCTCTATCTCCAACATTCTTGGTCCGTAATCTCAGCTCTCTGTCTTCAGTACATGTCCAAGCAATCTTGGACATGGAAAAAAAAGAATTAAACAGAATGAATTAAATTATTCTAATGTATTTTACCTGCAGAAGTCCATGTCAAAATACAGTTGTCACAGTTAGTAAAAAAAATACAAATTTTTCCTTAAATTTTGACACAACTACTAAGGTTTGTTTATTATTCTGTTCTTTAAGCGATGTAACTATTCTAAAATTATCCTAAAATCCAAGAACACATCATTTAAAATAATGAAATAATTTCAGAGACTTTTATTTTATAAAGTGCATGTGCGTGAGCAACAATGCTAAAAAGGGCCACTTTAATGAAAACGTCAACACGTCGTGTAACGTGTGAGCGACTGTATGTTGCATGTTTTCGATGCCAGTGGAAGAGAGTAAAAATATGTTTCTTGTAAATTGGTTGAACTTGGCCTTTCAGCCCTAATATTCCCTGGGGTAGAAACTGAGTAAATATTAATATTTCATTCTTGGAGTTGACAGCTGTGGCCCCTGTTGGGTAATCACACAAATGTATCACTGTGGCCGAGAAAAAGAGCGTCACCTGAGTCCAAAAAGTCAAAAAGAGAATAAAAAGAGCCTTGTTTTCTTGCTTGACATTGACTTATTTTTAGCGGGTCATTGGCAATGAAAATGTTTGTCGAACCCAGGGGTGAAGATGGTCTGGCAGACTTCCCTGAAGACCACGCAGGTCAGCTGTGAGGTCAAGAGTGCTGTCTGTGATGACATGACACGTCTCTGCAGAAGCTGACATTTACATGACACGTCTCTGCAGAAGCTGACAGAAAGCTCACAGAAAAAGATCGACGTTGTTGATTCACATGTGGCTGGAGGTTTGACCTGGTAACAATCGAACAACATCGGCGTCAGGTCTGTGTCGTTCATGAGCATTGACTGAGTATTAATGTTAAGAACCGAGTTAATGTCACCTGAAGATAATGTGAAGAGTAATGGTTAGATTTAAAAGGTATTTAAAAGATCCTAAATATGCATGTGGTTTCCCCTTTTGCCTCTGCAGG